TGAATTTTTGCTTTCAATTTCATTAAAGAGATGGAGAGTATTGTTGTGAGTTCTGTTTTGATGGCGTTGTAGAATTCAGCTGTAAATCTATCCGGTCCTAAACTTTTCTTGGGTGGGAGGTCTTTTATTGTGCTGCTTCTTTTTCGATGTTTGATATGGGTCTGTTAAGTTGTTTTAAATCATCTTGGTTTAATTTGGGCGTGTCAATATTTGCTAGAAATTTGTCCATATCTTTCAAATTCTCAAACTTGTTAGCATAAAGGTTTGGGAAGTATCCCCTTATTATAATGTTGTTTTGTTTAACTTGCTTTGTGATTATTTTTTGAAATATCACAATTTTCAGTCCTTTTCTTGAAAGTGAAAGTTTTAAGGCACTGGGTAACATTTGATAGATTGTATTGTGGAATTGAATCTATTAGCACCCATTTTCCAGTATAGGAGCTCAATGTAATCTTCAATGAAGGTTTTAAAGGTCTCAGCCCTTAGGCTTCCCCCGCCCCCCGCCCCCCCCCCCCCCGCAGCCTCACATAGTTTTTACCAGCCTGTGGCTTTTTTTTTTTTTTTACCCCAACTCAACCAACCACTCGCAGTTTATTCTGCTCTTGGCCATTGTTTTCCTCCTTGGAAGCTGCTGAGCTATGGTTCCACACACAGTGATGTAGCTGGCCCCAATGTTCTGCCCACCTGAGGCCTCTCATCTTGTTTTACTGACAGATTTTATGTAGGTGTGTTCATTTTTTCTCTGCTAAAGTCTGTAGGGATGCACAGAAGCTTGCTCATCTCTTGGAGTTCAGGAGATGTAACAACTGCCATGGTCATGTAGTTACTCTATTTGAAATCCACTGTGGTGCTGTTTATGGATTCCAAGCTACTTTGCTTCCAGTCCTCATTTTATTAGCTTTTCTGCTGTAAGTCATGTGATAGACTGGCTATTTTACTAGAGAGTTCCCACAATGAAGACTAAAAGGTAATGTTACTCTATCACAACCCTGCTATGTCTCTTCTCTTTTACTCTGTTTTGTTTTATTTTACTTTTTTGGTACCATTTCTGGACACTCAGGATCTGGGAACTGTTTTTGAGTTTTTGTGATCAATTCTAGTATCTACCACTTTGAGCCATATCTCCATTTCCACCTTTTTATTAGTTACTTGAAGGTAAGAGGCTCACAGTCTTTCCAGTCCAGGCAGGCTGTGAACCACAATGCTCAGATCTCACTTGTCTGAGTCACTAGAATTATAGGCCTGAGTCACCAACACCAGCTTTCTCTGTGCATTATTTTTTGTGATTCTATCCTTTCTTCCTATCAGTGCCAGCAAAGGGACTTCAATGCTTTTTTACATTCCCATCATAGCGGTGATTATAGGAATGCACCACTGTTGAGACTAACATCTGCACATGGCTGTACTGGAGCTCTGATTCCCTCAGTCTCCACCTTTTACAGAGCTTGGATAACAGACTTCTGTCACTCCATCCAGGTAAGAGATCCCATAAGTTTTTTTCTCAACTTGGATTCAGAGACAATATTATTAGTCTCAACAAGAATTATAGGTGTTCATCACTGGATTTTTGCTTAAGATTTTTCTATTCCTGCAAAACATGCCCTGTAATTTTCAGTGAAATACCATTGAAAGTATAGTTTACTTTTGGGATTATAGTCACTTTCACAATTTTAATTCTGCCCATCTCTGAAAACAGAATGTGTTTCCATTTTCTGGTTGTTATACAATTTCTTATTTCATAGGTTTACTTTTCATTGTAGAGTTCTTCCCAGATTTTTTCATAGGTTTTGAGTATTTATTATTTGTTTTTATAAAGCCAGAACTTGAAGGTATATATGATAGAAAATTTGGGCACCTCTTCAGTTTGTATTTTAAGGGATTAAATTTTTTTAGTCCAAATAGACAAAAGATATTATTTTTCCAACTCTAAGTAGACTGATTTACTTTTGTTGGTCTTGGGACTTCAACTCTGGGCCTGGGTGCTCCCTGAGCTCTTCAGCTCAAGGCAAGCACTCTACCACTTGAGCCACAGCACTTCTTCTAGTTTTCTGGTAGTTAATTGGAGCTAAGAGTCAAATAGAGTTTCCTGCCTGTGCTGGCTTTGAACTGGGATCCTCAGATTACAGCCTCCTGAGTAGCTAGGATTACAGGCGTGAGCCAACAGCATCTACCCAGAAGATTTATTTTTAAATTTTATTTTTTGTATGTTTAAATTTTTACTAGTATATATAGTTAAAATGGGTTTCATTATGATCGTTTTATATGGGCACATGAATTCTTTTCACCAAATGTGCTTATATTCATTACTTTTTATTTCCTCTAAAACTTGAAATTATCTTTATGGCTTCCATTATGTTATTTTCAATGATAAATTGAACTGTAGTGTTTGATAGAATATATCTAAATATTTTGAAAGCCACAAAAATCATATAAAATATGACACATGATCCCCAATACCACACACACACACACACACACACACACACACATAAGATAGGCAAATCATGATTCAAGGGCCACATCCAGCCTTCTTCTTGTGAGTAAAGTTTTATTTTAACACAAATGAAAAAAATTTATATGGCTACATTTTCCTTGTTCCTTTCTCCTTACCACTGTTTTCCATGAACTTTTCCTTTACATTCCATTAACTTTTTCATTGTCTTCCATCTATCCTTTCTTACTTAAACACATTCATCCATCCATGTGTTCTTTTCTTTAAGAGAAAAAGTATTGTGTAAGTTTACTGAAATCCTAAGAAAAATTAGCAAAGACTACAAGATATGTAAAATCAGTGAAATCACATGTTCTCCCAAGAGTTTCACATGGTATAACCCCTGTCATCACTGTATTTGATTCCAGTGTCCTGCATCATGTATATACAACTTTCTAATTTAGGGAGGGGAAGGGAAAAAACAAAATGCTGAAATAAGGATACAGGATGACACATTGTAACAAGGAGATGTACAAAACGCTATGTTGAAAAGGACCTTTACAATGTCGGGGGGGTGGAGGGAGGAGTTAAGGAGGTGGGGAGGTAAGGGATGGTAGGGGAAACAAAGGAGGAGGTCACAATGCCCAATAGGAAATGTACTCATTACCCTACTCGTTTAACTGTAATAACCTCTCTGTTCAGTATTTTTATAATGAAAACATATAAAAATGTGAAAAAAAGTTAGCAAGGACTACAAAATATTGTGCAAAAAAACTGAAATCACATGTTCTCCAAACAATTTCACATCACACAATGAAGATTCACTGTTTTACTCAATAATATAAACCCAGCCTTATTTATGAAATTCCTAACACAAAAAAGGAATATAAAAAACTCAATAGAAACTGATGAATATTTTGATTATATCTAATTAACATACTGAAGAAGTTGGAAATTAATTACATTTTCATTTGTTAAACAGTATGCCCTCAACAAAAGAACATGGACACAATTTTTGCTAAAACATTGTTATATTTTCAACAAAAATTTAATTTATAGAAAACTACAGTCTATTACACAGTCATTTCTTTACATGAAATGTAACTGTGAGAAGAGTTTGGCAGTCAGTTTGGGCAGGAAAGTCTTTGTGAGCAGGAAAGTCAATGAAAGACCAAAAAAGCTATAAATGGAGTTGTGGTTCAAGTGGTAACACAGACATGATTGAAAAGAGAAAGGCACAGTATTGTTCAAGAATGAAAATTTTAATTAATGTAATGAATTTAAGTAATGTAAGAAGAAACATATAATGAACACTAGAAGAGACGAGAAATGAGTACAATTGTGTCTATATATCTTAATTATGGGATTTAGTAGAAATAGTATAGAATCCACTAAGTCAACCTATTTTAAAAAATAAGTCATACTTTCCTTACCAAACTGAGAGTTTTGAAATGTTCATGTTTCAGCCAGGCACTGGTGGTTTATGCCTGTAACCCTAGCTATTCAGAAGGCTGAGATCTGAGGATTGTGGTTCAAAACCAACCTGGGCAGTAAAGTCTGTGGGACTCTTATCTCCAACTAACCAACAGAAAACTGGAAGTGGTGCTGTGGTTCAATGGTAGAGTGCTTGCCTTGAACAGAAGAGCTCAGGGACAGCACACAGTCCCAGAGTTCATCTAGGCATGGAGGAGCAAACTATGATGTATTATAGGCTTTAATATTAGGAGAAAAGTCAAAAGATCTTCTAAATTGTGATCTTAAAGTGAAGAATATTTTTGGAGCTCATCCAAGTCATTCCTAAAGCCATATGAGGAAAGCAGCATGAGAGGGAGGACTGATGAGAGAGAAGGAGATGGAGAATGGCAAAGAGAAAGAGAGACAGTGACAGACACATCGAGAAAGGTGCCACAAAAGAGACTCAGGATACTTCAAAAGGTAAATGTGTGAGGAGAAATATGCAAGTAGTACCAAAACAATCTCTAAGGATAATATTAAAAGATGAAAATTTGATAAGAGTAAAATATTAATGAAATGTATTAGAGGATGCCGCAACATGGTGGTGTGCAGAGAGGAAAGTTAATATATTGAAAAATTAAGAAAAGTGATTTAGAAAGACAACAGTGAAAAGATACTAAGAAAATTTATGATAGAATCATATGTAGATTAAATAGGAGGAATAAAAATTTAGAAGCAAACTTCTTTAAATGGTGATCACTTGTGACAACCACTACTAGAAAAATGCACAATAGATCCTTATTTATTGAAGTAAAAGTTTCCTAATACTAAGAAGCACAAGAATATAAAATCACTGTAGGGCTGGGAAGGTGGCTCAGTGGTAGAGTACTTCCCTTGTATGCCTGAGGCCCTGGGTTCGATTTCTCAGCACCACACAAGCAAAAAGAAAAAAGCCAGAAGTGGCGCTGTGGCTCAAGTGGTAGAGTACTAGTCTTGAGCTGAAGAGCTGAGGGACAGCGCCCAGGCCCAGAGTTCAGGCCCCATGACCGGGCCAAAAAAAAAATTACTGTAGACAGTACAGAACATGTTAGTAATGAAACATATAAGTATAATCTTAAGAATGTTTATTTCTCCTACTAAGTCTTTTATCCCTGAAACCATGCAGACAATTTTTATTTGACATTAACAAGATGGTGTAACACTTTGGGGCAAATATGCAGCCTAGGAGCCCTGCACCAGAGGCCAAGATCGAGAAGACCTCCACAGCCACCATGACCTTCCCCTTGGCACTGTGATAGACAGGCAGGAAGGTGAGCCACACACTGCAGAACACCAGCATGCTGAAGGTCAGGAACTTGGCTTCATTGAAGGTGTCAGGCAGGTTCCTGGCCAGAAAAGCCAGGGTGAAACTGGCCAGGGCCAGGGAGCCCAGGTATCCCAGGACACAGTAGAAGGCAGTGAGGGAGCCCTTGTTGCACAGGATGATGATGTGGCCATGTTCAGAGTGTGCATCTGTGTCCACAAAGGGAGGAGAGGTTCCCAGCCAGAGTCCACAGAGAGTCACCTGGATGAGGGTGCAGATGGGAATGATGAAGTTAGGAGCCCCTGATACCAGCAGCCACCTCATCCTTCTCCCTGGAGAAATGGCAGTGAAGGCCAGAACCACAGTCACCGTTTTGGCCAGTACTGCGGAAAGAGCCACAGTGAAGACAACCCCAAATGTGATCTGCTGCAGGATGCAGGTGACTGTGTTGGGACGTCCAAGAAAGAGCAAGGAACAGAGGAAACAGAAAATGAGGGAGATGAGCAGAATGTAGCTGAGAGTCTGGTTATTGGCCTTGACAATGGCAGTGTCTTGGTGTTTCACAAATATCCCCAGAATAGTAGTGGTTAGCAAGGAGAAGCAGAGAGCCATGCAGGCCAGAGCCATGCCCAAAGGATCTCCAAAAGCTAGGAAACTTTCATCTCTCAGGAGGCACTGATTTCTGTGTGTGTTGGCATACTGATGATCAGCACACTTCACACATTGCTCCATATCTGATAAGAAGTGTAAACTACCATTAGTTCTCGTGAACTTCTTTTTTCTTCAAAGAATTTCAGAAATTGTTCACTTACATGTTATACTCACATCAGCATTTACAAAAAAAGTATTTTTTTCTTTTCTAGATCATAACCCATTCTCATTTCCATATTCTTCTTTATTCAGGCTTTTACATTCACATTTTTCCCTTCAGGGATTATCACATATATTAACAATGTGACAGTTGGGTATTCTAATGTACTAACAATAATTTTCTACACTTTTCCTCACTCTTATTAACAGGACTGTATCCTATTCTGAAATCCTATTGAAAATTGTAATTGCACATGTTACAGTTTCTTGCATGTTTCTGTAAAACAATTTTAATCCTATGGCACATGTTTGAATTCATCTAATTATGTTTGTCTTGCCTACTTATCTGGGAAATAGTAGGAATAGAGAAAACACTCTTGAACATTCTATAGTCACGTTCACTTCTTCAACTGAATCCACCTATCTGAACACTTGTCCTGTGCCAAGAACCGTTGTGGGCACTGAAAATAATAAAATGCAAGATTCATCTTTTCTGTGTGGACAAAATGTAACTTTTAAGATGATCACTGTCCTTAATAAGACTTATGCTTAATTTCATTTCAGAGTTTACCCTTGTCCTAATCATTCATGATAAGAGGCATTCCAGGTAATAACTTTGCCTGCAATATACCAGAAAATGTTACTAAATATGTAATTCGAAATTATGATCTATCATATTTCATTCACCGTAACAGTGAGGAGGCAAATGGGATCTGTAATACTAATACACATTGAGTTGAGGAAAACTAGGGAGAAATGAAGAATTTCTTCCTAAGACATGGACTTACCTGTCCCATTAGCAATCTCATTCTGTTGGCAAGGGTTACAATCAAAGCAACAGGCAGCCTTTCCTTCCTGAGGAGATTTTCTGAATCCAGGACCACAACTCTCACTGCAGACAGAGCGGGGAGTCTGATGAAAGTCAGAGGTATGTCAGTAACTCTTTAGACTCATACCCATGCTCCAAAATGTCAATTGTTTAAAAAAATCAGATTATTAAGGATGATGTTTCTCTACGGATAAATGTAGTTGATTAATTGAATTTTGTTACAGATTTTTAAATATTCATATCAAGAAATGTGTATTATCATGATTTAAAGACGTTTTCTTGAATAATAACAGTTTCTAAACATGTAAAAGTTATAAGAGGGTATACCTTATAACCAGCATTTAGAACAGAATGCACAGCTTTGTTACAAGTCTTCCTTTTTTAAAAAACAATCCATCTCCATGAAGTAATGAATATTGCTTCTATTTGGAGTGAGGCTCTACAGCAATTTTATATAAATATAAATGAATCAATCAATAAATCAATCTATCTAAGTATCTATCTATCTGTCTTCATCATCATTGGAGTGTGGCCTGCATTGGATTACGGCCCTAATTAAATAAAGAGCTGATAAAAATCCACAGAATATTAGGTTTTGTTGTTTATTTATTTATTTGTGAAAATACCATACAGAGGGGTTACAATTACATGGGAAAGATATTGAGTACATTTCTTATCAAGCATTGTTGCCTCCTCCTTTGTTTCCCCTTCCCATCCCTTCCCATCTCCCCCCTTCTACCACTCCTCCACCCGTTAAAGTTTTAAAGTTTGTTTTTTGACATAATGATTTGTACATCTCATTGTTGCAATGGGTCCACCTGTATCCCTATTTGAACGATTTGTTTTTGCCCTTCCCCTCCACAAATTATACCAACATCAAATAAAATAAAAGCAGGGTTATACCGTGGGGGAGGGACATACAAAGCAACAAAGAAATCATCTTATAAATATATCAGAAACAATTTCATGAAAGCAAAAACATTTGAATACTAATCTTGGGATTCATTTCACCTAACATCAACTTATTTGACCTTTTCTGCTTGTCTCAAACATATACTAGTCATTGCAAATAAGGGAAACCATGGGACCTATGTTTCTTGGGCCTGGCTTACTTCAGTTAATATAATTTTTTCCAAGTCCTTCCATTTCCTAACAAATGGGGCAATGCCATTCTTTCTGATGGAGGCATAGAATTCCTTTGTGTATATGTACCACATTTTCTTGTAATATTCATCTCCTGAGAGGCATCTGGGTTGCTTCTATATCTTAGCTATGGTAAATAATGCTGCAATAAACATAGTTCTGCTGGTAGTATTAGTGTGGTCTTGTTTGTGAACATTTGGGTAAATGCCCAAAAGTGAGATTGCTGGGTCATAAGGGAAATCTATGTGGATTCTTTTGAGGAACCTCCATACTACTTTCTAAAGTGGTTGAACAAGTTTACACTCCCACCAACAATGCAGTAAGGTTCCCTTCTGTCCACATCCCCTCCAGCATCTGTTGTTATTAGAGTTCTTGATTATAGCCATTCTAACTGGGGTGAGGTGGTATCTCAATGTTGTTTTGATTTATATTTCTTTCATGGCTAGAGACATTCAACATTTCTTCATGTGTCTATTGGCCATCCTTCTTTCCACTTCAGAGAAGTTTCTCTTTAAGTCTTTAGCCCACTTATTTATTGGGTTGTTGTTCCTTTGAGGATTTGTTGTTGGGAGATTTAATTTTTGAATTCCAGGTATATTTTAGATATGAGACCCTTGTCTGTTGTATGGCTAGTGAAGATCTCCCAATCCGTGGGCTTTCTATTGATCTTACTAGCTATGTCCTTTGCCATGCAGAAACTCTGCAATTTCATGCAATTCCATTTGTCTAACCTTTATTTGATTTGTTGTGTTTCTGGGTCTCTATGAAGAAAATTTTGGCCTGTGCCAAGGAGACTAGGGTTTCTCCTATTCCATCCTGTAATATTTTCAGAGCATGTGCTTTGACTCTTAGGTCTTTAATCCATTTGGAGTTGATTCTGGTGCAGGGTGACATATAAGAATCTCTGTTTAGTTTTCTACAATTAGTTAACCAATTTTGGCAGCACCATTTACTGAAGAGGCTCTCTTTTTTCCATTTTATTGTTTTAGCTCCCTTATCAAAGATTAGACGGCTATAGGTCTGTAGGTTCCTTTCTGTTCCCGAGGTCTATTCTTGTGTCAGTATGAAGCTCTTTTGATTACTATGGCTTTGTAGTAGAGTTTGAAATTTGGTATTGATATTCCTCCAGCACTGTTCTTTCTGTTGAGGATTGTTTTTCCTATTCAGGGTCTTTTAGTGTTCCCTATGAAGTTTTGGATTGCCTCTTCTATTTCCTTGAAGAATGGGGTTGGAATATTGATAGGTATCACATTGAATTTGTAGATAGCCTTGGGAAATATTGCCATTTTCACGATGTTGTTCCTTCCAATCCAGGAGCATGGGAGGTTTTGCCACTACGTTCTGTTTTTATTTCCTTTTTCAGGTTTTTAAAGTTTTCATCATAGATGTCCTTCACCTCTTTGGTTATGTTAATTCCTAGGTATTTTACTTTTTGTGGAACTATTACGAATGGAGTTGCTTTCCTAAATTCAGCCACACTTTTCTCATGGTTGGTATACAGAAAAGCCATTGATTTTTGAGGGTTAATTTTATACCCTGCTACTTTGCCAAAGTTTTGAATCAGCTTGAGTAATTTGGGAGTGGAGTCTAGGGGATTCTTTAAATACAAGATCATGTCATCTTCAAAGAGGGACAGTTTTACTTCAGCTTTCCCTATTTGGATCCCCTTTGTATTTGCATCTTGTCTTATTGCTGTAGCTAGGCATTCTAATACTAGATTGAAGAGAAGTTGAGATAGTGGACATCCTTTTTCCATTCCTGAGTTAAGAGGAAATGGGTTTAGTTTTTCACCATTAAATATAATGCTGGCTGTAGGTTTGTCATATACAGCCTTTATTGTATTGAGGAATGTTCCATGGATTCCCAATTTTTCCAGAACCTTCCTCATAAAGGGGTGTTGGATCTTGTCAAATGCTTTTTCTGCATCTATTGAGATAACCATGTGGTTCTTATCCTTGCTCCTGTTGATGTGATGAATTATGTTAATTGATGTGCATGTATTGAACCACCTTTGCATCCTGAAATGAATCCTGTTTGATTGTGATATATGATTTTTTGGATGAATTTTTGAGGTCGATTCTCCAAAATTTTGTTGAGAAGTTTTGCATTGATGTTCATCAAAGAAATGGGTCTCTAGTTCTGTTTCTTTGATGAATCCCTGCCTGGTTTGGGGATGAGCAGTATGATTGCTTCATAGAATGAGTTTGGTAGTGAACTTTCTCTCTCAATTTCATTGAAGAGTTGGAGGAGTACTGGTGTGAGCTCTGCTATGAAGGCCTTGTAGAATTCCTGTAAAACCATCTGGTCCTGGTCTTTTCTTAGATGGGAGGTCTCTTATTGTTGTTTCCATTTCAATGCTTGGTATGGGCCTGTTAATATGGTTTAACAAATTTGAGAACTTGGCCGAAATGGATGTTTTCCTAGGAAATACTGACATGCCAAAACTAAACCAAGATGGGTTTTGTTGTTTTTGTGGTTTTTTAAAAAAACAAACAAAACCAGCATTTCTTTGGGACACTACAACAAAATGATTAGTATTTTCGCTTTTAGACTTCCTACACGTTATGGACAAGGGCCGCACCTGAAGGTCCTCCACTGTCTTCCGAAGGGCAGGTTTTGGGGCAGCCCAAAGACAGCGTCGTCCCGACGTAGTAGTTATTTTCTACATCGCCCTAACACAGTAGGGCAGTCTGGTGAGAGCCAGCTTTCCTGAACACTTCCTGCAGACTGTTCACTTGTTCCTCCCCATGAAGTCACCGGATTTCTGAAATTTTTGATGGTTTCTCCCACTCTTCACTGTTCTCCACGGAAGGCAGAACCAGCGCTCAGAGGACCCTGCCTCCAGTTGGCTCCAAGACAATTCAGATACCTTTCATTCCATTTTTTTCTTTACTTTTTAAAAATTCAACCAACTCAGGGGCTGATCGCAGAAGTCTGGCAAATTCAAGCAGCTGCTGTAGTCATACTGGAGGCCTGTACCCACCATTCCTTTCTACCAAGGGCTCTGTGCTGCTTCTTCTGCAGCTGCCAAGTCACGGTTTAATGAAAGCTCGGTGGCATACATTTCTTCAACATGGGGACTCAGGATCATTATCCCTTCTCCATCGCCAGCACCTCAAGTCAAGAAGTCTGTGGGTTTCCCCATGTGGATGAATTTCCAGTAGTCTCTAGAACTGACCTGGTGAAACACAAACGTTGAGACTCTTCCTAGCAAGCCATAGATAGAAGACGTTCTAGACATCAACAGGCTAAAGATGGATGACACGATAGAGTGACAGAACTGGATTGACATCTGGCTTTATCAATGCTGCTGTGTAGGAGGAGTTGCGTCCCTCGATCAAGGTGACTCTGAACAAAGACGGCCAGACGTGCGTTGGAGAATGTCTGTCTGTTGCCCACATAGCATGGGGTGGGTCTCCTTCCAAGTCCACATTGCCTGTGCCCACCTCCTGAGTCCGCTTGGCCCTGCCTCCTTGGCACGCATAGGTCCACCTCCTGGGCCTGCCTGGACCTGTCTGGGCCTGTCCAGAGGAAGTTGCTGCTGAGCAAGCTCCTCAGAATCCACATCCTTCGCATTAACCACATCTATGCCAGGGGGATGGCGTTGGGACAGGGCCAATCACTTCTCTGAGGAGGAGGAGGAGGGGGTGTCGCCAACTCTGGCCACCTCAGGCCCTGCCATGGCGGCTGGAGCCATGGTGCCTGACTAGCCGCCCATCCAGTATCCAGGCATATTGAGGCGGGTTGGGGGGGCATGGAAGTAAAGGGGAGTGGCCAGCACCGGGCCTTCTACGGTCCTCTAGGCTTCCACCGGTGGAACCCTGTTATAGATTTTATATTCCATGATTCACAAAGACTGATGAGCTACCATCTTGATTTGTAGCCTACTGAACTACTGAAAAGTCTGGGATCAAAGGTGGAAACTCATGGTGAGAAAGCAAGTCCCGGTGGAGAGCCCTAATGAACTGGCTTCAGTTCATGTCAGTATGTGTTGTCTTCTCCTCATGTGTAAAATAGAGAAGAGCCTGGAAGAAAAACATCCTTTTTATAGGGGTTTGTGAACCACAGACCCATCATATCTTTTTCTTTGTTCTCCAGTGGCCATGAGGTGAGACTCTTTTCCCAGGTGCCTTCAATGACTCCTCTCACCAAAGATGCCTAAGTAGCAGGTCAAGTATCCATTGAATGAAAACGCCACAGAAAGGAGCAAAATCAGCCTTTCAACCAAATACAATGATTCATCATGCACTTTATCATCATATTAGAAACTTACTAAGAAAGATATTATTTATTTTTATGATAATATTTGAAGTCAACATGTAGGAATACATTTAATTTTTTTTAGTGGTAGTCAGTTCTGGGCTTGAACTCCTGGTCTAAGCAGTGAACATGAGCATTTTTGCTCAAGTTTAGCACTCTACTACTTGAGTCAAAGCTCCACTTCCAGATTTTTGGTGGTAATTAGAAGAGTCTCACAGACCTTCATGTGTGGGCTAATTTTAAATGGTGATATTCAGATCTCAGCTCTATGAATAGCTAGGTTATGGGAAAAAGTTGCTGGCAAGTCAGGAAGGTATAAATTTAAAGGGCAAGTTTTACTTATATATATGTATTTAAAATTATTATGATTAGATCCAACCCACCTCTGTAGTTCCTATGGCCCACTCTACCATATCTTCAGATAAAGACAGTTGATTACCGTGGAGAGCATATGGAGAAAACTTTCCTACTTTCACTTCCAGTTGAAGACCTTCTGGAAAATTCCAAATGTTCAGAATGTCATACTCTGGCTCCAATTTTCTTTTCTCATCCAAAATCACTTGGTCTCCAGCAGGATTGTAAAATTGGATGTTTTTCAGAAAAGGGTGCAGCTAAAAGAGATACATCATCTTATGTTGAAGTACATCCCATATTTAAGGTAGAAAACCTGAAGTAAGAAAAGCTACTGATTGCCTTCAAGCTCTGTTTCTGAATCCAAGAATAGCACAGCCACCTAATGAAGTATTGCAGAAGAAATTCTATGGAGGAATGAAAATAATCTTTCTGGATCCTGGTCTTTCAGAAAAGGATCAGATGTTCTTTTTCTTTTCTTTTTTAAATAAGAGAAACCACTACCACACAAAAAGCCAGGAGTGAGAGAATACTCAGTTGCTTAGCTACAGTTTTTCCCAACTATCAATTTTTATCTCACTTATTTTTTGGTCATGGGGCCTGAACTCAGCCTGGGCAATCTCCCTTACCTCTTCAGCTCAAGGCTAGTGCTCTAGCACTAGAGCCACAGCACCACTTCTGGCTTTTTCTGTTTATGTGGTGCTGAGTAATCAAACCTAGGGCCTCATGAATGCAAAGCAAGCACTCTACCTCTGAGCCACCTTCCCAGCCCCCCAACTATCAATTTTTATGAATGCCTATACTTTGAGCTTGCTCAACTTTTAATGTGGAAGTTGAATGAAACTATATCATTCAAGAAAAATATGAATAATTCTGTTGAACAGATCATCTTTTGCTATTACTCAAGAAACTTAAAGGGAAAAGCTGAATTTACAGTTATCAAAACATTAGCTTTGAGCATGTTGAGGTTGTGTGTAATGAAATGAATTCATAAGCCAGGATCTGGTAGTTCATGCCTATAATTCTAGCTTCTCAGGAGGCTGAGGTATGAGGATTATGGTTTGAAACCATCCTGGGCAGAAAAGTCTAAAATACTCATCTTAAAAAAATACTACTCAGGAAAAGCTGAAAGTAGTGCTGTGGCTCAAATGCTTTGAGTACAACGTGATCCAGGGACAGCACCCAGTCCTTCATGTCAAGGTTCAGGATCAGCAATAAACCAATGAACATTAAAAAACCAACAAACCAACAAAAATGCATTATAGAAATATGGATTATATTTTATTCTTGTTATTGGCCTGTTTATTCATAAGACCATTTGCACACATGTCAAGAGTACCTCACAAACATTGAAACAAAAATAATTTCCTGGCTGGGTGCTGGTGGCTCATGCCTATAACACTAGTTTTTCAGGAGGCTGAGATCTGAGGATCACAGTTCTAAGCCAGCCTGGGCAGGAAAGTCTGTGAGACTTTTATCTCCAATAAATCATTAGAAAACAGGAAATGGTGCTGTGGCTCAAGAGGTAGAACACTAGCCTTGAGCTGATGAGCTCAGGGGCAGTGCCCAGGCCCAGAGTTCAAACCCCATGACCAACAAAAAAATTCTGGAAAAAAATTTGGAAAACCAAAGGAAAGAGTAACAATGATTGATAGGAAATGTACTCAATAGATTACTCATGTAACTGTCACCACTCTGTACAGTATCACTACAACAAAAATATTAAAAAAATTCCTGGGTTTTGGAAAATCACCCAAAATATTTAATTTCATACAGTAAACTCTCCAGGAAGTGCCTTTGCTCATGATGTGTGTCATCAAATATACAAGAAATTACCTGTGCAGGGGAAGGCACTGTCCACTTTCTATTTCCTATTGTTTGAACTTCTGTTTGATGAAGAAGCATCTCATGGAGAACCTGAGCCACAGCATACACAGTGTTGTATATATTGTAACTATCTCCAGACATGGTGATGTCAAAAATGTGCCTAGGCAACCAATCCAAGGAGGCATCATGAGAACAGCTGTCCCATACTATACAGTCAGGATCAGCATCTGAACAATTAAAAGAGAGAAACCACAGCTTTGCAAGAAAAAAGTCTTCTGGGTATTTGGAAGGATGAACTGCCTTGATAAAATCTGTGAATCCAGAAACATCTGCATGATGGTGTGAGAAAATAAGAGGAACATGGAATGAGCCTAGCATGAAATATCTCCTTGTTTTTAAATCCCACTGTGAGTTCATGATCCAAACTTTGCCTTTTATTAAAAGTTGCTCAATAAACATCATTAAATCTAATAGTGATTCATTGTCACCATATATGATGAGGACATTTGCTGAAGATTTATTTATCTTGTTATAAACTGCCATGATTTTGATGATATGTAACATGCCATTGCTTGATATCAGTAGCTCATAGGCTACACAAACTCTATTCTTGGTCATTTCTTCTTTCAATTCAGGAAGAATCCACAAATCATCCTGATCTTGTGAGGTTAAAATTCCTACCCAGTTCCAGCTGAAGTGAAGCAATAAGGAGACCATGGCAGTGGATATTGATGTGTCCTTTGGGGCCATCTGATAGAGAGAAGGAAACTTGTGATGGTCACAGAGGGCAGGATCAAAAGGCCCAAAGGTAAACTAAAGGGAAAGAAAATTGGATGATCCATGAATGAGAAGATTTCCATCCATCATAATTTCAATCTTTCAATATGTTAAGAAGCAATTGAAGAAGGTGAAAATTAGTTTCTTTTTTGTCGGTCATGGGACTTGAACTCTGGGCCTGAGCACTGTCCCTCAGCTCTTCAGCTCAAGGCTAGTGTTCTATCACTTGAGCTTCAGTGCCATTTCCGGTTTCCTGGTGTTTTATTAGAGATAAGAGTTTCATGGACTTTCCTGCCAGGGCTGGAATTGAACTGAGAGCCTCAGCTCTCAGCCTCCTGAGTAGTTAGGATTACAGGCATGTTCCACAAGCACCCGGCTTAGGGTTTTGTTATATATTTTTTTAAAGAACTACTTGAATTATTTAATGGTTTTACAACCTATCCCATTACTTATTAAATGCCTCTTGATCTTTGTCACTATTTGTATCAACTCTTTCCATCTATATCAACCCTACCCATGCCCTGATTTTCCTCATTCCATTTTCAAATATGTACATTGAATATTGTGTTGTTTTCTCCCTCCCATCCATTACCTATTCTCTACCTTTTTCACTTAATATTTAGCTTCTTACACAAGATATGCTTCATCTTTCTGGAATTCTAGAAATTTCACCATGGTTTTCTACCCCTATGTATACCATACTTTAGTCAGATTGATTATATACATATAATATATATATTATATATATTATAATAATATTATATATATAATATATATATTATATATAATATATATATTATATATTATAATAATATAATATATATTATATATATAATATAATATATATATACACACATACATATATATATGTAAATGGCCATTTGTGTGTCCTATATTTTTTATACTACATACTCACCTTTTAGATCTAACTTTTTCGCATATGAGAGTTAACATTTCCATTTCTCATTCTGAGCTAGACTTGTTATACTCAACATAATATCTTGTGTGTGTGTGTGTGTGTGTGTGTGTGCATGCGCGCGCGTGTGCTTATGTTTGTGTGCATGTGCATGCTGGTATAGGGGCACAAACTCAAGGTCAACTTGCTTGGCTTTTTACCTCAAGGCTTGTACTCTACCACTTGGGCCACACATTCACATCCTGCTTTTTGTTGGTTAATTGGAGATGTTCCTTGAGTAGCTAGGATTTCAGGTGTGAGTTACCAGTCCTCTGCTCCTCAGATCACACCTCAAAGTCATTTACCATTTCCTCATTTTTAACAAGAAAATTATTGGTAAGACTTGAAATAATAAATAATACATTTGTTAGTCTAATTCTTCTATCTCGTTTCCCAAACTGTAGGAATATACATAACCCACTATCTTGGAGTAGTTATTTTTGATACCATAAAATTTGATAGGCTCATAAATCCAGGCTTTTCCTATCATTCTCTTCTAACACTTAAAATGGCACCAAATTATCCATATTTGTATCCCTCACCTGTGGAAATCTGTAGAGTTGCAGCAATGTCCCAATGTGAGCAGATGTTACTCCTAATGGTCCTGTTAGCACTGCTGTAGACTTGCTGTCTCTCATGCAGGAGTAATTTGGAATCTTATGCTTCCCGAAGAGACAAATGAAGGGATTCTTAAATACTCTCCAAGCTCCAAATTGAACATCATAGACATCAAATCCCAGCGTCAAGTTATGTAAAATATGAGGGTCTTTGTTGATCTCTTCAATAGCAAAAGCCAAAGCCAACACAAACTGATAGTTCTTGAAGACAAACCTGCATAATGAGCATAGAAATTAGGAGTATTTCAAAACTTATGACTTTGCTGCATTGAATGCTTGCTTCTTTTCTAATGAATGTGTTAAAATATTAGCCTCAGTTGAGATGGAATATGAATGCAGTGTAAGGACATGAAGGGAGTATGTCATGAATGAGATTCAGAAATGTATTTAAGCCAAGAGAGAGAATGACTTTTTCCCCACTGCCACATACACCACAACAAAAAGGTGGTGTCTCTTAAACATGAATTAGGCTTTCATGAAACATCAAATATTCTGTTTCCTTTGTTATAAGATAATAGCTTCAACTGTTTGAAAAATAAATCTTGTGCTTTTAAGCACCCAATTTATGTTATGTGTTTATATGGCAAGATAGGCTAGCTAGTGTTCAATTTAACAGCATGTTTCAGAAGCAAAGTGTCCTTTAAGGAAGATTCTATACCAAGCTGTGATTACAGACCCAACATATTGAACAGCCAGGGCAGGAAAGACCATGTGACTCTTATCTCCATTAAACCACCAGAAAACCAGTAGTTGCAATGTAGCTCAAGTGGTAGAGCACTAGCCTTGAACTGAAGAGCTGAGGGACAGTGAGCCGGCCTAGAGTTCAAGCCCCAGGACCGACCAAAACAACAACAACAACAAAAAAAAAACAAAAATGTTTTGTTAAATTTTGACAACAGTATTTTAGAAAAGCAAATATTCATGTTTTGGGGATTCAGTAACTGGGTGACAGTGGAAGTAAGCATCAAATAAGTTATAAATGAATTTATTGAAATATAAGAGACTCAATGGAGGACACAATTAGTGTAATTCTTTAGAAATATAAAGTCAAAGCCCAACAAACTGTGTACTAGGAATGTGTTGGGGGGTAAGAAAAAAGAAGAGGGATAGAAGTATGAATGGGGAAATGAGAAGAATGTAAAAAGAATACATTGAATAGGCCACAGTACTGAGAAAACTGAGAAGGGATGGGTAAAGGAGGGCATATTAAATGTATGACAAGGATCTATCTATCTATCTATCTATATAAATTTCTTTGTTAAATGACAAAAATTCAACACATAATCTAAGTAAGAAAAGTGAAGGAAGAGGTGGTGTGGGAGGAGTTGGTAAGAATGTTAAAAGGGATACATTGGTCAAGAGGCAATGTATTAATAAACTCTTATGTTGAATATCAATTCCATTATACTAGTATCTAAAGAAAATAAGATTTAAAATATGTATAAAACCTATTGGTAAGAGTGGCCATACAACTGATCTGAAAATATTCTAATCTAGTAAATATGCTATACAAATTGTAAGGATAATTCTTCTGAGGGGAAAAATTATTAATAAATGTAGTGATTACTATAGGAAAAATGTAAAGTTGGATATCTAATATTACAAATGAGGGGAGGAATACAAAGCAGTTACAGTTTTCATGTGTATAATTTAATATTGTATCTTAAAATATTAAAGGGAATACTTTCTTTAAAATATAATGAAAAAAATGTTAGGTGATACGACAAAATTAACAGGACTTAAGAAACAAAGAACTTCCACTCATCTGGTCGAACCACTACTAAATATCCCCATGCTGCTGATCACATGTATGGTGTATATGTGTACACCATTATATGTTATAGACCGTGATAGATAATTTGCTCCAGGAAAGTTAGAATGAGCTTGTGACTTTAAATGAGCATCATTATTCCACAATACTGTGAAATTTGGGAAATTATGTAATCACTTAATCACAATTAAAAAAAAGCACCAGAAAACTAGAAGTGATGCGATGGCTCAAGTTGTAGAGCATGAGCCTTGAGCTGAATTGTTCAGGGACAGCTCCCAGGCCTAGAGCTCAAGCCCCACAACTGACAAAAGAGAGAGAGAGAGAGAAAGAGAGAGAGAGAGAGAGAGAGAGAGAGAAAGGGAGAGAGAGGTCTTTCATGCGATTGTTTCTAACATATTTATAAGATTATGTCTTTGTTGCCTTGTATGTCCCTCCCCCATGGTACAACCCCTGTTTTCACTATATATGATGTTGGTATATGTGGAGGGGAAGGGAATAAACAAATTGTAAAAACAGGGATACAGGAGGACCCATTGCAACAATGAGATATACAAGTCATTATGTCAAAAAACGAACTTTACAACTTTGGTGGGGGAGGATGGGGGTGGGTGAGGAGGATACAGGGATGGGAAGGGGAAACAAAGCAGGAGGCTACAATGCTTGATAAGAAATGTGCTTATTATCTTACCCATGTAATTGTAACCCCTCTGTACAGTATTTTCACAATAAAAATATATTAAAAATAAAAAATAAAAAAGAAAAGCACAAAAATACAATGAAAAGATTTCATTATAGCATTTCTGTATATTCACTTACAGATTTGATCATAACCCTCCACTATTTGTGCATATTTTCTCTGTTTCTTTTATCCTCCCCAACATGAATTGTTGTCATCCTTCCAAAAGAGCTTGTTGTAATCTGTTTTAAACCCTCTAAGTACCACAAAATCCATAACAGACTAATGGAAATTCCTAATCCAGAAATCCATGTTCTCCACTATTGAACTCAATAGCCACTGAAGTCTCTAAAAGGAAAGAAAGTGTGGGAGAAGCTCCAAAAAACCTGGAAAACAAGTTACATAAAGGCAGTTGTGAAATGTGATCTGTCAATAATGACTGTGATGGAAATGCAGGAAAATCTGTCAATAATGAATGAAAACTCGAGGCCAAATGATTTATTGATTCCAAGAAACTCAATTCTCCATCAATGTTCCTCAATGACTGGAAGAAAGGAATGTAAGCCAGATGCAGAGAAACATGTTTTCCCTCATTGTAGTAGAATGTGAATAAAAACCCCACTGCGACATGGTATATTTTACACGTGTCTAGCCATTCTGCAAAATGAGAACAAGGGAGAATGCAAAGGCACAATATCTATGTGCATCTGATCATATAAAATAATATTCATTGCAATAAACTCCAGGAAATGGAAACTAGGGATTCTTTTTCTTTGTTGCTGTTTTGGTTTATCTTTTCTTTTGTTCATTCATTTGTTTGGGGGAAAGAATGAGGACACAAAATGGGTGAAAGGAGGAACAAGTGCAACAGCAGTTCTCATTAGACACTATATGCAAAATGTACTATACAACTTGTGGGTGAGAATGGGAGGGAAAAATAGAGTGAGGAAAGTGACAATGGTCAAAAAGCAAATTACCCTTTATCTAACTTACATAACTGTAATCAGCCTGTACATCGCCTTTCTAATAATATACAATGTGTGTAAAAAGGAATGCAATAAATCAGTCCATGCAAATGAAAGACAAAAGAAATCAGAAGTATCCATCCCAAATCACGTCAAAAATAGGCTTTAATCAAAGCAGTAAAATGTGACAAGTTTGCAATGCAATGATGAAGGGACCAAATCAACAAGATGACATAGCAATTCTTAATGAATATTGACAGACTATCCAAACATTTAACTATACTCAGGCAAACTTTAAAATAGTCCTCGACACAATAAAAGCTGAAGATTTTATGGACAGATCATCGAGAAGATCAACAGGGAGGTACTGGAATTCAGTTTCCCCCCTGACAAGATGAGCTTCGCATAAACCTACATAGCAGTTTCACCAAAGTCTAAATAAATCATCTTTGTGAACCTACTGAGAATTTTCCAGGAAATAGCATGGGATAGGAAACAAAACTAACCATATTTTTAACATATTGAGTCTCTCATGCACATATGCAGATAACATAAGAAAAAACAGAAAATATGCACATAACCTTAGAAATGAATTATTTTTCAACCATGTATAAATAAATTATTCAAGTTAATTAAATGATCAGCACATGATTAAATGAATTGTTTTTTGAGGCAAATTTCCTTGCAAAAACACAGAATATCAGAATATACAGAAAAAGGAGGAAAAAATGAAATTGTAAGGCTCTTTGCTTAAATCAAGAGTGCAGATACTGTACTAAAGGCCCTACACTGCATCTCAAGAAACTAGGAAAATAAATCCCAACTCAGTAGAAGGAGTTGAAATAATCAGTAGAAGAAAAAGTATCAGAGAAAAAACCACAATAGTATTCAATAAGGCAAAGAAGAGGTTCTACATAAATGACATGGTGATCAGACTGAATCAAAATCATTAACAATCAGAGGGTAAAGCAACAAAAGTACACATATCAACACAAACCTCCCATAATTCTGGATGTAAGAATCAGCATGGTGAAAATAATCATTTTTACTGAAAAACCATCTACAGATTCAGTGCAGTCTCCATCAAAATTCCCCATCACTTTCTTTACAGAAATAGACCAGGGAAGACTAAATTTTATATATATAAAAAAAGTAAATCCTCCATTAGCCAGAGCTATAATTAGGCACAAGAATAATACTGAAGTATCATTGTATCTGTTTTTCTATACTGTGGTGCCATAATAGCAGAAAAAAATGATAAAACAGACACATGGATCAAAGAAATATAAGACCACGAAGTAATTGCAAACAACTATAGATATCTGATTCTTGGAGAAGTTGCCAAACAATACAGAGCCTAAAGATAGCACCCTTAGAATGGAGTGGCCCTGTGAAACTGGGTTTCCATTTACACACTGAGACTAAGCTCTATCTTTCAACTTGAATTTTTTTAACTTAAAATTGGTCAGTTCTTAATAGAACCTGGAACTTTACAAGTAGTAGAGAAAATGGAAGGAAACCTACATACATAGGTAACAAATAGAACTCAAATAGCTCATAAAATGACAGTAAGAATTAGGCTCTGGATTTGACTAAGTTGTAGAATACTTTGTCTCATTCCCAAGGCACTAAATTGCACTCCCAGCACTGGAAATGTAAAGTAGTTGTGGTTTTATCCAATTAAAAAGCTTTGGCACAATGAAAGAAATGGTGGAATAGCCAAATGCATTGTTAAATATCTTGCTAGCTATTCATCGCACAGAGGAATAATAGCATAGTGGAAAACAACTTAATCACCAGTAGTATAATCCAATCAAGGAATAGACAATTTAAAAATGAAAAAGTATAAATGGAAAATCAATAAAGAATGAAAGGTTCAATCATTTGAGCAATCAGGAAAATACAAATCAGTTATAAATGGGTTGCCTACCAACCCAGACACAGATTGCAGTTTTGGTGATGTTATATGAAACTTAAAGATTGGATATTCAAAAGCTATGTACATATGACCATATAAGATGATGATAAATGAAATGAACCCCAAGATAGGAACACATGTGTTTTTTTTCCTTCTTGCTATTGTTGCTAACATGCTTATAATGTACAATGTTTGTACATTAAAAATGTGCAATGTTTGTTTCTTTGTATGTTCCTCCTCTGTGGCATAACCCCTGTTTTCTCTGTATTTGATGTCAGTGCCCTGCATCTTATAAATACACTTCTCTAATTTGGGGAGGGGAAGGGAAAACACAAAGTGCTTAAATAGGGATACAGGTTGACCCATTGTAATAATGAGATGCACAAGATATTATCTTGAAAAACAAACTTTACAATTTAGGTGGGAGAGGGAATGTACTTGTGGAGATGGGAGGGAAGGGATGGTCGGGGAAAAACAAAGGAGGAAGTAAAAATGCTTGATAGGAAATGTACTCATTACCTTGCTCATGTAACTGTAACCCCTTTGTTCAGTATTTTTACAATAAAAATGTATAAAAAAGATTGGAGATTCCTCAAGAAATTGAAACTACCTGTACTGGTGGCTCATGCCTGCAATCCTAGCTGAACAGGAGGCTGAGAGGCAAGGATCTTGAGTCAAAGCCAGCTGCAGCAGAGCAGTCCATGACACTTTATTTCCAGTTAATCAACAATAAACTAGAAGTGGATGTGTAGATAAGTGATAGAACATCAGCCTTGAGAAAAAAAGCCAATCCAGAGTGCAAAGCAAGCTAGTCACCATGGCTACTGCCTCTAATCCTAGCTCTTTCAGGACTCTGAAAATGAGCAGAAGACAGATATGGCAGAGTGAAAATGGATGAGGGATAAGATATAAAAATGGTCATAAATATAGTGAGTGAACACTACTCAAAGTATGAGACATGCATGGTGGAACTTCAATATGAACCAGAGAATTGACACAAGCACCATATTGTGTAACAATTGAGAAACATTGCTGTAACATCAGTGGTTGCAGAGTTCAGTCAGATCTCTCACCTACTGATATCTAATTGCCATGCTCCATTTGTCTACAAGAAAGTCTTAGTGGATAAATATTGCTATACATAGCCAATAACATGCATAAAATTTTACTATCCTAAACCAGACTTCATTACATATCTGTGGGTAAATAAGAAACATCCATCAACTCTTTTCCTCCTTGGCTGTCTGAAGATCTGCTGCCATCATGAATGAAACAGTAACTATCTGGACCAGGAAGTACATGACCAACCGACTACTTTAGAGAAAGCAGATTGTCATTGATATCCTTCACCCTGGAAAGGCAACAGTACCTAAGACAGAAATTCGTCGAAAACTTGCTAAAATGTACAAGACCACACCCAATGTCATCTTTGTATTTGGATTCGGAACCCATTTTGGTGGTGGCAAAACAACTGGATTTGGCATGATTTCTGATTCTTTGGATTATGTAAAGGAAAATGAGCCCAAACACAGACTTGCAAGACATGGCCTGTATGAAAAGAAAAGACCTTGAGGAAACAGCGAAAGGAATGCAAAAACAGAACTTAGAAAGTTAGAGCGACTGCAAAAGCCAATGTTGGAGCTGGCAAGAAGTGAGCTGGAGATTGGATAACAGCCAAAGGAATAAAGATCCTGCAATGACTAGACCTGTGGTGATGACAAATTTTTCAGAAAGGGATTAATAAACGGTAAAAGCCTTCCAAAAAAAGAAAAAAAAACATCCATTGGCTGAAAGCATAATACTCAATGTGTTTATACTAGCACAGTAACAAAAGTACTCAAACATTTTGGGAAATTAAAAGAATGAAAATCAGCTAAACATGGTTAAATAGTGGAGAATAAAAAGAATAAACTAAGCCAGGCATTAGTGATTCACATATGTATTCTTAGATACTTAGGAGACTAAGATCTGAGGGTAGTGTTTTGAAGCCAGCTTGGGCAGCGATGTATGTATGTCTCTTATCTTCATTAATCACCAGAAAGTGCCAGAAGTGGAGATGTGGCTCAAATGCTAGGGCACTAGCCTTCAGCAAAACAGATTAGTGACAGTTCCCAGGACCAACACAAAAGAAAGAAAGAAAAACACACCAGTGACATATAAGACAAGGGTATATATATATGATATATATATATAAGAAGATAAATATATATGTATATATACATATAAATGTATAATACATGTATATATACATATATATATTTATCTTCTATAGCAGGGAAGAGATTAATTCTTGTCCTGTGATCTCTGCTCTCATCTTTGGGCAGCTACATTAGCCTATACTTATCGTAGTAGCACTTGAGAAGAAGTGCAAATGATAAAAAGAATGACAGTTTCCTTTATAGTAGGAACCAGATAGTTTGCTAGAATTTCTTGAAGTTTTTCACAGTCATTTTTCTGTTCTATTTATTGGCTATTTATTAGTGAAACTCTCTGGTACCAAGGAAGAGCCAAGAATATGCATGTGTACAAGTACAGGAGAATACAGTAGGGCAGATAAAATTCTCCCTTAAGGGATCTTTGATAATGCTGATCTGTCTGGTAACACTTGGATTGTGGAACATTTCTGATATGAAATAATGACAAAAGGCTTTGTTTGCAACAGTATCTACTTGTCTATAGTAATAATGTATGTGTGTGTCTTTGTGTGTGGTAATCCTAGGGCTTGAAATTAGTGCATCAGACACTGCCCTTGAGGTTTTTTTTTCCTCAAAGCTAGCACTCTGTCACTTGAGAAATATCTCCACTGACAGCTTTTGGCTTGTTAATTGGAGATTAAAGTCTCACAGATATATTTTTTTTTGTGCCTGGGCTGGCTTCAAACCTCCATCCTCAGATATCAGCCCCATTAGTAGTTAGGATTACAGGCATGAGCCACCAACCTTCCATAAGAATTTGTATCCATGTCTTCAAAATATAGGTGTTAATAAGGAAAAGTTCTCAGATTACTGACAGAAAATGTAGCTGCAGCCTTTTAGACCCAACTCATTCCAGGGATTCAGCTTGATTATAATAACATTCCTTCATTTTCTGTGATGGCACCTGAGATGGAGAAGATACAGAGTTTCTGGACTAAAGTGAAGACCCTACCAACCTGGAAAGTAGAAGATACATGGAACAAGATAGAAACATCTCCTTCTAGCAGTGAATAAAAGACTAAATTATGAAATTGAGCTGTTCCTGGTGTAATAGGGACAGGAGGTCAGTGGAGAGGAGACGGAACATTGATGTGTGCACCCAGAGCTCCCTCAGACACTGCCCATCCTCAGAACAGTAAATGAGAATAAAATGATGAGTTACTTACGGTGTGTGGTCTTCTTGCCTGGAAGAATCGCTATTACTACGATCGATTCCCAAAGCGTAGAGAGGGAAAAACCCAGCGATCATCACATCTCCATCCATGTGTGCTCGGTGCTTCATAGCAGAGAAGCAGCTAGTGCCAGCCAAGGACCTGACAGGGAGGGGAAGTTGGAGAAGTAGGAGTGTGAAAGACAAAAGATACATCCCTGAAGCCTCTGCCGCACTGAAATTCTGTCTAGAAGGGAGGACCTCTTGTCAGGTATGTACATTTATATACATGTTATATGTGCATATGTGTCTTTTTATTGATAGAGCTCTACACTATAGCTTCCCTTACATCAAAGCCCCAGAAGTCATGTGTAAAAGTATACCCTGCAGCTCTACATCTGTGGCCTTCATTCAAGAGAAAAACATGAGTTGAAAACATGTTTGTGCATATGCCTTCTTCACCCCAGGAGTTATGACTTCATCCAAGACAGCAGACAGTGAGGCCTGAGAGATGGAGTTATCCTGGAGATATTTTCATGAAAGCCATTTGGGATGATGCAACAGGATCGCCTCAGAGGATGCCATGTGCTGTGCATGGTGAAATGTCCAGACAAAGTCTATGCCTGTGAGATCAACTAAAGTTCTGAGAGCATCACACCCAGAGGGTCAGTTCACACACACAATGTCCATAACAGCCACAGAACATGGTGGTTGATACAGGGAGATTTCCACAAGAATTCCATATGCAGAGGCCTCGAGAAATGTGCCTATTTATTGTTGCCTGAGGAAGCAATGATGTTGCTGAAACTAACGATTACATGTGAATAACTCAAAGTCAGTGTTGATATTGAGTTCTACTTTTGCATTCTAAACTTTCCCCTTCAAAGAGATCATTATTAATATGCTAACATAGATGAAGACATTTTCATGATGCAGTGGTCTGAGAACTTGTAATAACAGAAGAAATTCTTCTCTATCACAAACTTAAGTCAATATTAAAAGCAACTCTATGTTTTTTTTGCAACTCTATGTTTTTAACTTGCCAGCATATGTTAGGTCCAAATTCCATGAAGAGACTTCAGTGGCTCTGAAGAACAGAGCTACTTCAGAAGAGTGAGCAGTCTGTACAAGGCTGTAGTGTTGGATGTGCATTGGGATACACTTACCCATCATCATGCACTGGGTCTCAGAAAATATACATCACTATGTATTTTAAAACTGCAGGAGGAAAATGAAAAATTACTCTAATGATATTTCCAAGGGCATTTTACACTTGTATATTTATTACATTATATAGGATTTGAATCCTTACTTTTAAATTCTTAGTAGCATATGTTAGCTGGACATACGGATTATTTACACATGTACATGTATGCTTTAGTTTCATAAGGTGGGGCACTCATTCATATCATTCATATCATACATCTATAGTTTCTTGAGAAACCTACATACTGATTTTCACAATGGTCACATGAAATTACATTCCCATGAATAGTGTGTAAGTGTCCCCTTTCCCTCCTTTCTTACCAACATTTCAAAAAAATTACCAACATTTTTTTACCAGCATTGTCAGTGGAATGAAACATAATTAACTGTTGTTTTGCTTTGCATTTCCTTTACTAGCCATTTATACTTCTGGTTTTGAGAAGTGTCCTTAAGTTTGTTTTCCAATTAGTGCATTGGCTTGTTGATGCTTTAGGAGTTTATGTTCTGAGCTTCTTGTATATTCTGGTTATGAATTACTTGCCAGATAGATATTTAATTGGTCAATTGTGTAGGACATCTCTTCCGTCTAGTGACTGCTTTGTTTTGCCAAAGGCTTTTAGTTTGATGTAATCCCTTCTGTAAATTCTTGTTTTCATCTACTGTGCTATTTTAGGTTTTAATTAGGAAGTGACAGCCTATACAAAATGTCTCATTGTTTTTGTGATCTATACAGTAGAGCTTTAAGTTTTAGCTTCTGAATTTCCAGAGTCTAAGAAAACAAAGATCAGGCTGGGAAGGTGGCTCAGTGGTAGAGCGCTTGCCTTGCATGCCTGAGGCCCTGGGTTCCATTTCTCAGCAACACATAAGCAGAAAAAAATGCCAGAAGTGACGCTGTGGCTCAAGTAGAGTGCTAGCCTTGAGCTGAAGAGCTGAGAGACAGCACCCAGGCCCAGAGTTCAGGCTCACGACCAGATCCCCGCCCTGCCCCCCACCCCCGCAAGAAAAAGAAAACAAGGATCGTTCACAAATGAGGGGATCACGAGCTACCTGGCCACAGTGTCTAGAAGATGGCTGTAATGTGGCATAGAGATAGAAGCTCTGTTAGTGGAACTATTTAATCAGCCCATGTACTTTGTTTGTGTCTACACACATGAGACCTTTGCAACCATGGGTAACCTGCCTGGATCATAGACTAGAACTCTCCTTGCAGCTAGAAGATGCTTCCAAGATGCTGAGAAAGGAATCTTCTACAATGAATCATTTTTCCACTTAGTATTTTTAAGAATTACACTGTATCAGATAAAACTAATGTTTCCAAATTTTCCAGGTATTCTACGAGGAAACCTACTGCACTTTTGCTCATAATCGTATTGCAGATAACATGAAAGGTTTTACCCTTTATTTACATAAGTAGTAAGTGCAGTTTCTCTATCTCCTTAGAATCATTTTGTGTTGATTTTGTCATTCCCAATGCCATTTGGGCGCAAAATATTGGCATTGTGACCTGGGTACAGGTGAGTCTGTTACAAGACTTTCCAGAGTTTCTGAGTTGTTCAAAATGTTCTACCCGGCATCTCACAGTGTTCCACAGAATTCAGGAGGGGAACTGCCATATACAGAAGCAGGGGAGTGGTCATTTCCCTAGTGCGAAGTGAGGAACCACAATGTGTGACTGCTGCCCAAAGCAACCACAAAAATATCTGAGCCCCAATGGTAGAGCACTTGCCTTGCATGCATGAGGCCCTGGGTTCGATTCCCCAGCACCATATAAGCAAAAAGAAAAACGCCGGAAGTGGCGCTGTGGCTCAAGTGGTAGAGCCTTGGCCTTGAGCTGAAGAGCTGAGAGAAAGCGCCCAGGCCCAGAGTTCAGGGCCCACGACTGGACCCAAAAAAAAAAAAATCTGAGCCCATTTCCCTCAGAGGGAATCAGAAAAGGGCAGGGGAGTCTGTAAATCTAGAAACATCTAGGATAAGTTAGGAAGATATAGTGCCTTGTCAAAAAACAAGAATCAGAGCTGGGCTCTGGTGGCTCAAGCCTGTCATCCTAGCTACTCACGAGGCTGAGATCTGAGGATCACAGTTCAAAGCCAGTTTGGGCAGGAAAGGCCATGAGACTCTGATTTCCAATAAACCACTCAAAAAACCAGAAGTGGTGCTGCGGCTCAAGTGGTAGAGCACTGGCCTTGAGCTCAGTGACAGAGCCCAGGCCCAGAGTTCAAGAAAAGGCATATTACACAAGAGATTGAGACCCATGATTCATGCCTAAGTCTAGCTACTCAGGTGGCTGGATCTAAGGTTCATGGTTCAAAGTAAAAGTTGAGCAGGAAAATCCATGATACCCTCGTGCAATTAACCACTAAAAGTTTCAAAGTAGAGCTGTGACTGAAATGATAGAGCACTAAACTTTAACACAAATGATCAGGGACAGTGCCAAGGCCCAATGTTCAAGCTGCTAGACTAACAAAAATTATACAAAGGACTTAAACAAAATATTCTCCCAGTAGCCTCATAAAGCACATCATAAAAATCTGGATTTAGTGTTTTACACAGTAGTAAATGTTAAACTCCATTAATAAAATTTTTTATATCAGAAGGAATATGAAAAATAAGTTAATTAGAAACAAATATCTTAACAACCATAACTGGATAAATATATTGAAGATGTTACAAATATAAGAATACATTTTCATGTCCTAAATAATGCCACCTCAAAAGGCAACATTCACACATTTTGTCTAAAGCATTGTAAATTGTAACAGCAGTAAAAATAATAGAATTCCACAACTGGATATTTAATCAATCATAGTATTAACAATATGAAAGATAAGAAAGAGGAAGTGATGAACAGAAGAGAAAGATACCTGTACATCCCCTTTACAATAATTTTATAAAATAAAATTAACATAAAAATTTTTATAAAATAAAAGAAGAGATAGAGTGGGGAAGTTAGAAGAGGGAAGGGATAGTGGGAGAAAAACAAAGGAGGGGTAACAATGCCTGACAAGAAATGTACTCATTACCTTACTGATGTAACAGTAACCTCTCTATCCAACATCTTCACAAGAAAATAGAATTTTAAAAAAGAGAATAGAAAGAATTGCCATTATGTGACCATGTGTGGTAGTCATATGAATCTATAAAGCAGAATTCAATAAAGTTGTATGAAATAATATTTTCCATAATGAGTTACTTGAATTGTTTGAGATAAATGTTTTCAGTCTATTAGCCCATCTTAAAAACATTAATTGATAATATAACAAGGAATTGCTATATACTTATATTTCATAAAAGTAATGTTTATAATGTAATAAAGGGTAATTAAGGAAGTATTAATTGAAAAGTACTTCCAATCATGTTTGAGCAAAGTAGCACTATTTTGCCTCTATACCTTTCATCAAATATTAGTACTGAAACGGTCAGATAAGTTGATATTAGGTGAAATGAACCCCAAGATAAGGACTCAAATGGTTTTTCTTTCTTGTTAATATTTTTAACATATTTATAAGATATAAGATATTTCTTTGTTGCTTTGCATGTCCCTCCCCCATGGTATAACCCTTTTTTCACTGTATTTGATGTTGGTATAATTTGTGGAGGGGAAGGGGAAAAAAAACAATTGTTAAATAGGGATACAGGTGGACCTATTGCAACAATGAGATGTAAAATACATTATGTAAAAAAAAAACTATACAACTTTGGAGTAGGGGGGTGGAGGGATGAAGGGGGGAGGGATGGTGGGGAAGATGGGAAGGAGAAACAAAGGAGGAGACAACAATGCTTGATAAGAAATGTATTCATTACCTTGCTCATGTAATTGTAAACCCTCTGTATGGTATTTTCACAATAAAAATAAAAATTAAAAAATTAGTACATAAATTGAATTCATTCTGAGGCTAAATTTAGGAGAAGTTTTGTAGAGTATAACCAACCATTGTTGGGAATCTATTTTTTAATTTAAGTTTTATTGTAAAGATAATGTACAAGGGATACAGTTGCACAAGTAAGATGAGTACATTTCTTTTTGAACAGTGTTAGCCACTCCATTTTCTCCCACAGTGCCTTTGACTCCCTACCCTCAGTTTATAGAGTTCATTTCCAACAGTATCTGGTGAGTACCACTGTCGACTTGTTTCACTTTTTTGGGGGGGGTGTCCAGTTGTGGGGCCTGAACTCTGGGCCTGGGC